TCTAAAGCATATAATTTCTGATATACATATGTAGGCTAATAGAAAGAATGCTTTGTAGGAAATGAATACTTGTAGGTAGCGAAGTCGATTTATCTTCTTTGATTCAAGAATTTTGAAATTAAAAATAAGCAAAATCAGTCCACAAATAAAGAATATATGATCAAAATCATAAATATAAAAAAAGTGAAAGTGTGCCGAATCCCATAAACCCACCTTCAAACCGTATGCCGCAAAAAGAATGCTCCCCTATAAAACTCAGGGTGATATTACTCATCAAATTAACTGAATTATTGACCGTTTTTCATAAAATTTTGCATAATTTTTTTAGACCGATTTTGGTTCATATAAAACATCTCTACATCGAATATCACTTCCCTATACTTTCCGCATGAAATTCGGTAGGAAGATTTACGTTCCTATAAAAGTTTCTTATATCAAATTTCATAATTGTTCACGTATTTTTAAGTCAGCAATGATCATTAAAGTAATTTTTTTATGGACCGATCCTCAATAAATTTGGTAGAGAGATTTTAACTCGTATAAAACATAAAGCACTGCTCAGAAATATAGCGCATTTTTTAATTTATTATTTTCCCTTTTTATACCATTAAAAAGCTTTAGGTAATAAATTTTTTTGGCGGTAAATTAAAGCATATGGTCCACTTTATTAAAACAATATTGAAATTTATTTTAAAATAGCAAAATAACTGCGCTAGAAAATATTTTACGAAACAAGTCCTTAATTATTGATTCAAAATTATATCGCATTTATAATCAAATTAGCAATAAAATATTTTTAAATGAAATGTTTATCAATATTGAATCTCGGGATGATAAAATACTTCTGCCCCTATATTTTAAGACCCATTTAGTCCCAGTTGGTATTTAGTTGCCTAAGTGTAGCGAACATTTTGGGTTTTTTTAACAAATTAATTTTTTAGCATTTTACAATCAATTTATGCAGCGATTTCAAATTCTGAAGACATGAATCGGTAAGCAATCAATCATAATGTAATTTATAAACATTTGATAACAATTTGGTCAATGTTATATGAGAACATTTCCTTGATAGATCCAAAGTTTCTGGATTTCGCGCGATAGAATGGAGCGTTTTTAATATTTCAACTAGGCCTATGTTTAAATAGGTCCAAAAATGTGATCATATTTTCTCCAAAAGGTTAAAATTTAGTGACTCTAGTATTTTCATATTCTTAAAAAAAGATAATAGGCCAAGAAAAAGGATGCTAAAACATGCACATGTGCTAACTGAAACACCACCAAAAAATGTTTTTAAAATTCTTATAAATGGAAATTTTATTTTCAGTAAATGGAAATTTTAATTTCAAAAAATGGAAAATAGAGGTCAATTCGAACGAAAACTATTATTTTTATTTAATTAATATACAAATTTATTATCAAATCGATGTAATACGATATTAGATATTTGCGGATTAGTTCTTAATTTTTTTATATTACATGTGAGGTTTAGCTTGCATAGAATTAAGCATATTCAGATCATAGTAATGATGTGTTATTATTCCATAGATAATTATTAAACATTAGAAGCAAGTTTTTTAAGTTTTTTAAGCAAGTTTATGGTGAAATTTGATAAAATTATTACAATTTGTTTCATCACAATCTTAAATCTGCCCAAAAGTGACCCATGTTAGAGGGTCAGACTGTTGTTTACCTGGAAAAAAATTTTAAAATTTCATGTCAAAGTTATCTCCAATGTCACTAGATATAATTCTCATTTAAAAAATTGGACTATTTGCCCCTAATTGGTCAATAGTCCAATTTTTTTAATGAGAATTATATCTAGTGACATTGGAGATAACTTTGACATGAAATTTTAAAATTTTTTTCCCAGGTAAACAACAGTTTTGACATAAAGTAATTTACTAGTACTAAAAGACACATTTCAGCAAAAATAACCAAAGACAACTGCTTAATATTTGTCACAGCAAATTAAATTGCATTTAGAAGCATAGACAACTGTCCTTTCATAATAATTAGTTGCAATTTTTCAAAATTAATTAACATTTTTCAATATTGTTTCAACGTATTTCAAAGAGTGCGCTATAATTATGAAACAGTTTTTTTGTTGTTAGTTTTGTTTATACATCCCTATTGCCGTTATTTTGCCGACTTACACCGAATTTTGATACTTATTACATAAACTGGACTTCGTTCTTGAATTTGCCATCAATCATGTTTTTCTAACTTAATTTATTGTAATAATATAAAAAGAATAAAAACCTAACACAAAGTGCGCTATATTTTTGAGCAGTACTTTATGTGTGTTGAATTTCATCGCTTTTCTCATATTTTGAAGCCGGTAATGAGCTTTATGGTCATATTCTGAAGGGGAGGTTATATGGGGGTCAATAATAATCAGGGAAACCAAAATATGCAAATGCATGTTTTTTGTGGTGCGTCGTATGGACTCATGGATAAGATATATATGCATATTTAAGGCATATTTTCGAGTTTTTAGAGCATATTTTACTCCTTTAGTGCATATTTTGATGTTTTCGCTTTTTTCGTTTTTGTACATTTTCAAAACTTTATTTAAACAAATAAAATTTTATTTTTTTATTTTTAATTTTTTAGCCTATTTTACAATTTAAAAAAAAAAAAAAAAAATTCGTTTGTAGAACTTAAAAACTGCAAAAAATACATTACTCTCATGAAAACCAATGTTATAGTTTTTTGTTCAATAAAGCATTACATTTTAAATCAGACATAAAACCGATTACTTTTGATTTCATGAGACCCATCCATTTTTATAGTTTAAAAAACTAATTATTGGAATTTATGACAACACCGATTAAAATGTCAGTTTAGAAGCTATGAATACAATTGGAAGAAATGTGTCAAACTTGTCGTTTGAAATATGTTTTTTGGGGTTCAAATGGATTCATGTTATTTATTGGTTATCTGAATGTAAAACGGAATTCTATTAAACTAGTTCTTCAAACTATGAGATGAATCAATTATAAAAAATCTTGTAGATTGAAATATTACACTAAACATTTATTATTTCATTACAATTTCCGTCTTTTTGAGCTTTTCAATGTTAAAATATAATGAAAAATTTTATTTTTCGAGCATATTTTTTAAATTTTAAGAGTATATTTCGAGTTTTTTACGGTATATTTAATGCGCTTAAAACACTTTTTTTAGAGCATGTTTTCGGTTTCCCTGATAATAATATACTTATATTTTTAAGCCAGTAATGAGCGGTCAATTATGGAACGATCCACATAAAATTTTGTTAAAAGATTTTGGTTCGCAAGGAACTTACTTGGGTCGAATTTCATCGCTTTCCTCGTATTTTTAAGCCAGTAAAAGTCATTTTCTGAAAAGGACCTATTATGGGGGGTAAAGTAAATTTTGGGCCGATCCAATTTTGTAGGGAGGTTTTGTCTCGTAAGAGACTTACTTATGTCAAATTTCATTGCTATATTTGTATTTTTATGCCAGTAATAAGCGTTAGTCAATTATGGACCGATCCTCATAAAATTTGGTAAGGAGATTTTGGATCATATGAAACTTTATTTGTGTCGTATTTTAAATGCCGTTAAAGGTGTTTTTCGGGGTTCCACGCGTATGGGGGACCGATATTGCCCATTTTCAATACTAAACAAATCTTTTTTGGGGGTCAATGACCAATATTTAAATGTGTTACAAACGGAATGACAAAATCAATATACCCCGGTCTTTTTTGATGGTGGGTATAAAAATAAAATTGTAGTAGAGTACATAATTCAGAATTGCAGAATATCGGGCCTGTTCGGAAATGCATCACTACAGTACATCTGATGATTACTCTGTGATGCTGGTGCAAATGTGATGATTACTCTGTGATGCTGGTGCAAATCAGGTAATGCTTAGATAATAGTCTTGCATTTAAAATTGTGTAAATTAAAATAAATTTCATTAAAATAAGCATAATATTATGTTCACATATTCATGTTTTTAACTTGTTTTTGGAAAAGCACAATGAGTTTAAACACAACCGTTTATATATTAAATAAACGTGTTTTTTGCTTTGAAGTGTTTTTCCAATTTCAAAATTTTGGTTAAAAAATTAAGATTTTCCTAAATGAAGATTACACTAAATTTAATATTTAACACAATTATTTACAACAACAAGACTAATATTTTTTGTAATTTAAATTTTTATTTTTGGTATTACTTTTTGTTCTAGCTGTGTTTATTAAACAAAAGTACGAAAATGTTCATTCCTCTCCTAAAAACATTAAAAATGTATGAAAAAACGAGTCGAATTTAAAGTGTTTTTTGAAAACAGATGATGTGTTTCAAAAAACTCGAAGGTGTGAACGTAGTATAAAATCTAAATACTTACTCACACAATGCATCAGCCATTTTTTAATGCAGATTTCGACAATTTTTGCGCATCATACATTTTCGTGATGCAGCGAAGCGATTCATTTCCGAACAGGCCCATATTATTCTTAAATGTTTGTATATAACATTGATATTATTGAAAACAAAACTGATTCCTTCTTTTGGATATCATATAAATTCTTAAAACTGACAATATAAAATATCCTATTATGGATATTTCATATGCAGGACTATTCTGAGTAATAAACTCCCAGGGAGTTTGTTCCCTCTCCTATACATAAGGCATTCAAAAGGGAATAAGCACCCGGGAAAATATTGTTCATAATTATTGGTGGTGTATTGTCCACAAGAAATTAAAATATAAAACAAAAAATCTCACTTACCTTAGTATCAGCAATTCTTGAATTTTGTCAATAAAAACTTGCTTAACTTGTATCTTGATTATAGAACTTCGTGACTCTTATCTGCAGTCACAAGCTACAACATACAAAGCCAAAGAAAAGAAAATAATTAACAAAAGATATAAGCAAAGCAAAACAAATCACATTCAAAAAAACAAATCAAAACTTCAATAAGAAACCAAAACCAACTTACCTTTGAACGAGAAAATTTTATAAACTCGTATATTTTTGCTTGATTATAATGTTGATAAGATTATGATGATGACAATTCATTTTTGATGATTGACTTTATATGAAAATATATTTATTAAATTTTGCTTAATGATCCTTTAAAATTTCGTTTTAAAAACACTGGAGTTATTTTGCTTGGCAAATAACATCAAAGGACTTGTGTTAGAACTTAGTAGCTATAACAAAGAATATTTTAAAATAAATGCAAATCTTGGTAAAAATCAAAAAGTAGAAAAAATTTTAAAAATTAAATTTAACCTTAAGGTTGCATGCGGAGGGCACCGTCAATGCGGATAGTTTCACCATTCATCAAAGGATTTTCATAGATGGCCTGAACCAAATGGGCATATTCAGATGGTTCACCCAAACGCTGGGGGAAGGGGATGGACTTGGCCAAGAAGGTGCGCACCTTTTCGGGGAGAGCAGCCAACATGGGAGTATTGAAGAGACCAGGAGCAATGGTGCAGATACGAATACCTTGGGTGCTCAAATCACGAGCAATAGGCAAAGTCATGCCAACAACAGCTGCCTTGGAAGCAGAGTAAGCAGCTTGACCAATTTGACCATCGTAGGCAGCAACGGAAGCAGTGTTGACAATAACACCACGTTGGCCATCTTGGTTGGGTTCATTGGTGCCCATAAGACCAGCGGACAAACGAATTACGTTAAAGGTACCAACAGTGTTGACCATTAGTACACGGGTGAAATCTTCCAATTTGTGGGCAGCGTTTTTGTTAAAGTTGTAGGTACGGATGGCGGTGGCAGTACCGGCGCAATTTACAGCCAAATCCAAACGACCAAATTTATCCTTGGCAGTTTGCACAGCAGCTGTGACATCTTTTTCAGAAGTAACATCCACAGGAACAAAAACAACATTGTCACCCAACTCTTTGGCAACTTCATTGCCCTTGGAGCTGCCCAAATCAGCCAATACAACACGGGCTCCCTGTTTGGCCAAACGTTCAACGGTAGCACGGCCCAAGCCAGAGGCTCCACCAGTAACAAGAGATACAGCGTTCTAAAAATAGAACAAAACCAAAAAGATAACAATAAGAAAATTTTCCATAATCATTGACATTATTATTTCTGCATATGTATGCGGGATGATGTGATTGTGTAATGACCGCACCAGCAGACACCAGACAGCATAACGGTGAATATTATTCAATGTGGACTTTGTACTTGACCAAAGCCAACAACGAAAATGCAAAAAATACCACAATTTTATTATTATAGTTATTATTACTGCAATTAATTCAACGTACCTTAATCATATTTAGAGATTAAATTCCAAAATTCACGAACAGAAAAATGAATCTAACAAATTTTGCAACCCAAAACAAAAACACCGGTTGAATGAAAAAACATCAAAGAATTCGAGCCAGAGCCCTGCGCCGACAAATATTATCGCCGGTTTGACAAAAAATGTCTGCAGCGGCTTAAAGTCGCCTGTAAGCCGGCTAAGTTAAATTTTCAACGATTCTAAATAAAAACAGAATCCGATAATTATAAAGTGGGATTTAGGAAGCATATATTTTAAAAATCGGGATTGTCGACCAGAGTAGGAAATTTTTGTATTCGTAAATATTATTTTATGTGTTTCTCTCGTTGTACAACTCATTTTCACGAGATTTGTTTTTAAACTCACGAGAACTATTTTTATTTTAACTCTTCATTTTTATACCGTTCGTGAAAAAAAATTTTAAAAAAATTATTTAAAAAAAATTTGATTAATCCTTAAAAATTAAAAACAAATCCTTTCACCAATTTCTGTAAGGATCGGCCTATATTTGACCGATATATATAAAACATCATGCACTGACTCAGTGTCAAATTTTGTTATGTTCAGTATAAATGTTCAATTAGCTTTTAATAATAAAACGTTTCAGTAATCTCGAACTTATACAATATTATTGAATAAAAAGATTATTCAATATTTTTTATGGTATATCAACAACAATATTTTTTATTTACTTAAAAAAATAATAATAAATACTCTCGAAAAGACAGAAGAGAGCCCTAGGCCCTAGGGATACGCATCAGCCCAAAGTATATTAATAAAGTAGCGACATCTCTTGTTGTACAACAACATCTACAACAACCACATATATTTTGTTTTTGGAATAATTTAAGATTGTGTCAAAATAAAATTTCCTTGAACAACAATGTGAACAAAACATAAATAAAAAATATTACTTTTAATTTAAAAATATTAACAATTTGATTATATTATTATATATTATACAATTTATTACACTTTTAAACTACTTTAAAACCACTTTTAATTCACTTTTTCAACTTTTCACAAATTTTAACAAATAGCAAAACACAATTTTAAAATGGCGACGTAAACAATGTTAACAATTTTCAAAACAAACTTTGACAACTTGCTTCATTTATCTAGTTTAAAAAAAATAGTCAGCTGTTCAAGTGATGCTACTTTATTAATATACTTTGCATCAGCCTAGGTCCCATAAGAAATACACGTGTTTGTGTGTGGTGCAAAGACAAATCTGCTTATTCGCAGTAACTCTCATAGCAAAGATGAGGTGTCAGCGAGTGACAATTTCTGAAAATATTTCTATGTGGTTCAATAAATGTCAAATTTTTTCATATGTGATTTGACATTCTGGAAACACAAAGCCATCTGTATGCTATGTTCTGCTTACAATTTATGTTTTTTTACAATATTATGTTATATTGCGCCATCTATGTTTCATTAAAAATTAAAAGTTCTCCTATCAAAGACACTTTTTATTAGTTTAATTTTACACCGACTATGGTAGACAGATGACGCAGATTGTGAGACATATTCAATCATGAGGTTTTTCTTAGTAAAACTATGGGGATTGCAATTTAAAAATGGGGAATTTTTGAGAACTTCCAGCCTAACATGAGTCAAAGTTTTTCTGGCAACACTGGTGAAGGGTATAATAATAATAATGTTTGAATGAATGGTTGTATTTTATGCTAAGAGTATTTTGTGAATTATAAAACTTATTGTGATTTATTTTAACACTGATACTGGTTCTGGCTACTAACCAAATAAAAAAGCTCACCAAAGTTATACACAAAATAAATAAAATAGCACACTACTTACTGCATATTTTTGGAGTGAAAAAGTTGCTTTTGACAGCAGCAACAACTTTGACTTTTCGAAAAAAGTCGATTATTGTACCTACGAATAATGCACCAAACTACTAGTCTGGCAACAATTTTCAATCTAGAAAGAAAATATTGACAAAGCAAAATGTCAAAACAAGCCATGTTAGTTTACAAAACAAAATAAATAACAATAGTTCATAAAAAACAAGAGAAATTATAATTCCAAAAAATATTTAATCGTTCAAAAATAAATTGTTTATCAGTATATTTTGCAAATATATTTGTAATTAATAGTTTCGCTTTGTGAAAAATGGAAGAAAAAAAGAAAAAAGATGATTGGATACGTATGGCTTCCAAGAGTCGGCCAGGACGTTTTTATTTGTTTAATAAGGCAACTGGTGAAACACAATGGTTGCCGTTAAATCAAGTAACAGAATCGGAACAACAACAACAAGAGTCCCCGCCAAAATTGTCAAGTTGTAAGTTGTAAATTTTATCGTAATATGATTATTTTTAATATATTTTATCTTCATTAGTTACAAAATCTAGCAAAACTCCTGCCCAGGATCGTTTAAAAAGATTACAGCACAATTTAAAGTCAAGCCAAACTCGTTCTAGCACCAGTCGTATAACACGACGCCAATCTTCTGATTTGGAAGCAAAGTCTAAAGAGCAAGAGAATAAATTAAGTGACCAACCATCAACAAGTACCTCAAAATCCGTAATAGAAAAATCTCCCAAAAAGGCCATGAAGAGATCTCAAAGTGGCAGTATAATTAAGGAAATAGAAAATTCAGTTAAAATTACCAAGACATCTGATGCAGAAGAAGCGAAGAAAATTCGGCTCTCCGAGTATTCCAACTCTACGTCGTCAACTTCAAACAAGTCAAATAAAATGGAAACTACCACACAAGCTATGGAGCTAAAATCTTTTACACCAAATAGTAGTAAAAATTTCGAGCATTTAACTAATATGGAGCAAGATAACAGCTCCTCATTGAATAATTTACGTTGTGGTATTGTTAAAAAGATAAAAGAGATTTGTAAAATACCATTTAATATATCCAAAAAGAAAATTGAAGAAAAATCTTGTATCAAGGAAGACAAATCAACTGGTATAATTAATACAAATCATTTCAAACCAGTTAGGAAAACCAAGGATATTATACAAGGTTTATCCTTATCAACTGCACGAGATGCCATCAGCCAGTTAAGAGAGGAAAGTACAAAAAATTCAAATACGTCAAATACTAATACGGAGTATAGTACACCTAAAAATATAAATATTCCTACGTATCCACGAGGATCTGGTAAGAATAATAAAATATATTACATATATTTCTTTATCTAAAAAATCTAAAGATTTATTAATATTTTTTGATAAAAAATATACATATTCTCCAAAAGTATCATATTATAACACATATTTAAGATATGTAGGTATATATATTATTCTAAAAATCGAAAATGCCGTTATATTTATATAATACTTTTCTGATTTCAAATCAAAATAAAATACAAATATACCCAAGTAGATAAAGTACTATTCGATTTTTTTTTATCAAATTTAGTTAATTTTTATGACAATGTGATGTAACAATGGCTTATACATTTTTATTTAAGTAGGATTTTAAGAACATTTTTTTTTTAATTTTATTAGGATCCAAGGCTACAGCGGCCTTCGTAATGAAATGGCTGTTGTTACAATATTCTAAATACAACTTAATTCTTTACCCTAGGACCCTAACGTAAACCCCATTAGATTTTATGAACATTTTTGGAGAATAGGATAATGAATACTGCAATAAACCCTAAAAAGTGTTTTTATGAGGGAATTGTACAAAAATTCTTAGAACACCACCGCTATATAAATAAATATTTTTAATGAGATAGAAATATTAAGGAATGGGTTATGTGTGTAAGAATTATTAAAACAAAATGATTTTGGTTAATAAAAAAAAGTAAAAGTTTAAGGGGAATATAGTATATAAAGTAAATTTAAATATCGAGTCCTTTTCGTACAAAAGACGTAACCGACAAAAATAAATTTTTACATGAGAGCATTTGTATTATTTTCGAAGTAAGGCATAGCGTTATTGTTAAACTCTGTTAATAAATATTACTATATCTAAAATATGGAATACTGTTGGTGTCAATCTTATATTTACCCTATATTTTTTGTAATCTAGCGATGTCCGTAAGTCAGTCTGTTTGTTGAAAGACGGATAGGTCCCGAACGCTAGGAGCTAGAGTGCTGAAATTCTCCAGAAACCTTTATTAATGTCAAATCTTGTTTGGTATTAAAAATGGGCAACATTCATGAAATGATCATCATGATTTCACTAAGCCTCCATACAAGTGTTTCCTGGAATACAGTTAAAACATCAATAAATATGCTGTTTATGTAGCAATTGTGATGATGATGCTAATGGATCCAAATGATCGATTTCTATAAAAAAAAAGAAATCATGTCACTTACGTCCATTTAGCGAAAAAGGATCGATATAAAATTGGCCTTTGGATGGAAACTGTTGAAAAACATTTGTAAACCTATTTTACGAAAATAAAAAATAACATTCTGATTTAATACGCAATTGCTCATATTTATTCTTATTTTTTTCCAGCGAATTCTCGTTTAGAACGTTTAAAACAATCATTTATATTACAACAACATGATCAACAAGAAACAAGTACATCTACAAATAAAACAAATGAAATTTCCAACTCATCTTGTGAGTCCAATAATAACAACACTTTATCATTGCAATTAGAAGACAAAAATAACACCGATCACAATAACTCCAAAAAATCTCTAAATGAAACTGGCAACAACACTCTAAATGATGGTAAATCGAATATTGTTTAAAACCTAGTCTATCAGTTTTGTGTAAAACAATTTTTGTTTTTCTTTTTTAGATGTTGAAGCTATGGATTGGCAACCGATTGTAAAGGATGAGGACTTAATTGAGGTAAAAATTTATAAAAATTCTCATTATTTTTTTTGCGTTACTATTTATATTACAATTTACAATAACAATTTTCAGTTATCATCTAGTGAAAGTTCTCTTGTAATAGAAAAATCTAAAAAACTTGTACTTCGAACAAATGATGAAAATGAAAATGCAACAATGGGTGATATTTACGATACCGTTAATGAAAATCTTTTACGCTTTTCGGCGGAAAAACATAAAGATTCTGTAAACCATCGAACAAAATGGCGAAAGGATTTCTACTATTTCATTGTGGATACTAATGTTTTGTTAAAAGACTTGACTTTTGTTGAAGATCTCACGAAAATGAAACTATGTGGTAAGAAAGCAAAATAATAAAGTTTAAACTTAATTTAATTTCTTCCTTGT